CCGGTGCGGACTCCGGCAGTTCGTGGGCTACCATCGAATCCGTTTCCTGAGTGCTCATTTGACCTGGAAAAGAGGGAGTACTTGTATTACCAACTCTGTCGACGTCAAACGTCTCGAAAAATATACATGGTGAAAAGAGTAAAGTGCAAAAACGCATAAATAAAAGGTTCTGGAGCCAAGGAGAATAGTTCATCGGGAACACAACTAACACCGAGCGTCCATATGAACGCAAATAGTGATATTAGTGACGACTATATTTTGTATAGTAAATGCGAAGACACATCTAAACCGTAATTTCGCCAACTGGACTGCGTTCGAGACTTGCGTGAAAGTGATGGCCGCAATTTCTTCAATCCCGCATTCTTAGTCTACTAAACATAATACAAGTCAGAGTTAAAAACCCAAATAGCTGTTTCGCCAATCCCGTAGCACTGCACGACACAGCTGCGTGGCTTCGGTCCGTCACATTTCCCCTTGCGCATCGATACTGTAGAAAAAGCCCAACAGTCGTTATTTGTACAATTGCCAATGGCGCAAATTTAGCAGCCGTCACTTAGTGGGAAATAGTAAACATACACAACTACTCACTCGTCATAAGTAATATTAATAAATAAAGATAGTACCACGGCTTATAGTCGCTGGTATTTACTTCAGTAGGTTAACATTACCGATGAAGACAGGGGAGATTGGAATGGCCATTTCTGGCTTATCAGCCGTTAGCAGTCAGTCAGGTACTGCAACAGTTGAGGGCTGAACCTACGACCCGCTGGGTAGAAGTTCAACGTCCTATCCTGCCGTTTACGATCGCGTATATGAACGTATTAGAGGGTCTGAGCCTGGAAAGCTTTTGCCCAAAGGTTTTAGTCTAAAATCACACATTTATTTCTGAGAAATATGAAAAGCCTCGTCGTCCTTCGCAGAAAATGTAGACGCCGAAGAAAAGACGGATATAATGAGCTATGCCTCGATACTTACATACTGATCTTAGCCGTGTCTATTCAAACAATTTTCAGATCTCACTTTGGCGAAATGGGCAGCTCTCAGTTGTGATCGCTCTCTCATATCTTCACTCCAGACATATCTGTGTCACCTTACGTGTCTTGGGGCTCGTTCTAATGGCTTTGACCGATTCCACGTTTAGAGCAACGTGACCGCTGTCTGATTGGAGTAGAACCTTTTAAATGTTAGACAGGTACGAAAGCTCTCTACTGCGCGGATTAGTATAGTTCAATTTTTTTGTTGTAGATGTGCTGGCAGAGGAAGTATAATACAAAAAATAATATAATATATTATAACATCATGTCTATTAATTATATGTAATACATATACTATTAAAAATGCATAGGTAATGTTATCTACCTAGACAGCTAGTCGCTCTGAGGCTACTAGTGGAGCTCGAGACTGAGCCACAAGGCAGAGCGTGGCAAGTAATTTCCGTAAGCGATCGTTGAACGTTCATCAACGAATTTTACTATACAATAATATCAGTATACTATAATATAATATTTATAATATACATACTCTTTGCGTTTCCTTTGCGCTAACAGAACATCAACCTTTTCAGGACAACGACTTTGCATATTTTTCGCCTTTATTAGGAAAAAAGCAAAAAGCACCCAGCAGAGCTTTTCAGATGCACAAAACCTCAGAAAATGTCATCTACTCCCGCACATGGTCAAGACTATTTCCCTTCGGACAACTGGTGTTTTTGGGTAAAATTTTACATTGGCTCGTGCAGGGTATTTTTGCTACATTGGCCAGACTCGGTGAACTTTTAGCAGGAATTCACAAGCATTTCGGAGAGGCTGTAGAAGGAGATTTGGTTTACAGGTGAATGGCATGATCAAGAAGGAGGGAAATGCAGCAACAATTTTACCGCTTTTGACTTCTTTGAAGGGTGGCTTCGGAGTACTTAGGTAATTTTATTTGTGCTACTTTATTTGTACTTCTTGTTTTGCACGAATAGGCTTTCAGCCCTTTAAAAAAAGTGTAACATTCTTATTTACACCAATCTGTCACATTTTTGGAATTTCCCGCGCTTCTATAAAACGAGTCTTTCTAAAAAACTTAGGAAAAACAACTTTAAGAACTGTTGTTGCTCTTCTGCTCTAAGATTTTGGCGGACGCAGCCTCGTTTGACTTTGCTCAACAGTTGGCATCCTGGGAAATTCATGATTTATAAAACCTACTGTATGTTAAGAAAACCACTAAAGTGAAACTTTCTTTTCCAAAAAAAACACCGAAAACATGGATTTTTCCGAAATCCTGGAAGGCGTTAGGTCCTTGAGATTAGCAAAAGTAGGCAAGGATGAGTTTTCTGGGTAACCATATAACTCCCCGGTTACTCGCTAAAATCCATCTACAATATTGACATATTATCTTCGTTAGAAAGGGTAGCTTCTGAATATCCCAGTTTACCCCTTCTTAAAGTTTATAATTTAAAGAAAGCCTAATATTCCAAGAAATGCGTACAAAAAGACTAATGTCACATTTGTTTTCTACACAATATATGTTTGAATTTAAAGCTGCTTCGAAACCCAATGGAAAAAATGTATACGATTTGAATAAACATTTTTACAAAGTCTATATTTTCCAGGTGGCTAGACGGCAGCTCGTTTGGAAGTCAGCATGTTGACTATCTATGGATTAGGTTGCGTGATAATCAATATCGTAAATTCATTTCAAAATCTCGCTTGAGATTTCACGAGGTAGCAGATCTAAAGTACGGCCTGTAATTCGTCTAACATTTGCGAAAGATCGATGCTCACTCGCTAAACGGCACTGAGTCAGGTTGTAATACCGATTGTCGTGTAGCCTATTCTCAAGTTATTTTAGTCACGATAGGATGCCAGCTTTTAAACGAGCTTCTTTCTAACCACTCACAAAACGTGCGTAATGTAAGAAGTAACTGCTTAGATACTATGCATTTATATTATTTATTTGACTGTCCTTATAAATTCAAGTATATTTTATTGAAAACATGCACGAAACGCTTTTTCTACCACTTCTTTGGCGGCAACTTACGCCTTCTTTAAATTGATTCCTTAAAGAAAGGGAAGCTATCGGTTTTAAAAAAGTTCTAAATTGCCGAACAATTTTCTAACCTAGTGACTGCTACACTCGAATTTAAGGTTCACAAACTGCGCACTGTGTACATCCTGTTTAAGAAAAAGTACGCTTTCGCCTACAGTTTGAGGAATAAGTCACATAGTTCTCATAAAATGTTGCAATGGGTGTGGGACATGATTTATACAGTATAGGCAGCATTAATAAATTGATGGATACGATGTATTATGAACGATCAACACACAATCGTAAAAAAGCTCGTAGTTCGAAATTTTTTTAAAACCGAAAGATACCCTTTCTTTAAGTATGACCTTTAAAGAAGGCGTAATTTGCTATCAAACGAGTACAAGTAATATATTTTTTGTGCACGCTTTCCATAAAATATATTTGAATCTATAGAGGCAGTAAAAATTCATGATAAACAGACTTACCATTTAATTAGTTATGTTTTATAGTACATATGTCTTGTTACTGGTCAGAAATAATCTCATTAAAAAGTCGACATGCTATCATGACTAAAATAACTTCAGAACAGACTACACAATAATCAGTAGCACAACCTGAGTCAATCCTGATTAGCGAAAGAGTATAAGTCTTTCGCATATGTCGGCATTTTGCACGAATTCTGGCGCGTACTGTATGCTTAGTTGCAAAAGCACTCCAAAATTTCCCATGTGTTTTCATAAGGAGGAAGCCAATTTACTGTTTTTGCTGATTATTTCGATCTCTCTCAATTGTTTTGTTCATTTAGGTCTAAACTTCAAACAAAAGAAAAACAACCGTCTACTATTCAGCCTACTGTGGCCTTTGGTGTTTTCACAGGAGCCAAGAAAGTGTATACTGACATCGAAAGCTCCGCGAGATAGCAGCCAACCACCCCTGCGTACCTGCGACAAACACCTACCTCTGCCGCTCGGTTGACAGTCCTTCGAAGACCACACCCACCCTGCATCCGCGACATTTAGTGACACTGGGCCACCACGCCATGCTACGCCCCCTGTCCGTCCGTCCGTCCGAACCTGGACGGTTGAACAGGTTGCCAGATTACACACCAAATGCGGTCGGCCGAACCGCGGCTGGTCGATGTGCTGTGCGGCCAACAGTACTGGCCTTGCATAAACGTTTTGAACACACACACAGAGC